TGTTGAATTGAAATAGGTACCTAACTTTTGTAAGTTTGTGAAATTTTACTTTAAAATTGCCTAATCCACTAGTCACTAAAACAAACGTAAATAAAAACCAGCCACACACAATAAAAAAAAAAATATAAGCAACTTATAATAAAATGTATTGAAATTTAAAATATTTGAGTAACTATTAAAAGTTATAAAAGAAAGTTATTTGTATAAATAAAACACAATAAATGTCAGTAGGTAGTCTTAAACTATACAAAAATACTTTCACAACCCCGATATCACTGAGTTGGAAGGCAATGAACTTTGGGGGGATTAACAGTTTTGCTGATATCAGCAGCACTGCGCAGCAATTATGACGCAACCTATCGGACGAACCCCAAGGCGTTTGGAGGCGGTGTTTTACATTTTAAACCATATGTATTCGTAATAATATATTATTTCTTATAAGGAAATGCATCTAGTTAATATTTAGCCGAGTAATTAAGTAATTTACACAATTTTTTATCAACAACCCATATGATTTTTGAAGAAAATAGCTGTATAATGTAGATTTTGTTAAACTTATTATTGTTATAACTTTTGTATTAGTTAAGATACAACCTTTTACCCAATAACCTTTTCTATTGGCCATATCTTTTGGATTAAAACTATGTTTTAACCGATGTCCTATATCGTGCCGTTATCGAGCTACAGTCGTTGCAATGCATAGCGCGTTCCGCCATCTTTGCCCCCCTCCCCCCAAGTTCTCGACCACCTGAAAAGTGGGCGACATGCGTATTTTTTATCACCACTGTCCATATTACAACTATCAGCAAAGATATTTGATATTACTTCTTTGCGACACTCACAAATTAATTCTACTTTCGGTAAAAAAAACTACACGAAAAGTCCATTTTTACATATTTTATACAATAACTTGTTTATTTATAGAGATATGACCTCAGACTCAATAACCATTATTGTAGTCCACATTTTTAGAATTACAACGACGTTTTAACCGATGTTCTATCTTTTACCGTTTTCGAAATATCAGCGTTTTAACGCACAGCGCAAACCGCCATGTTTGCCCCCTCCCCCTCACCTTATCGACCACTTTTGAAATAGGCGACATACGTAATTTTGATCACCACAGTCCATATTACAATAATCAGCAATAACATTGCGTACTACTGGCATGCATGCTCAAACCCCCTCAGCTCCTGGACTAATAACATTTATGACGAACTCTGTTAGTATGAGAGATTACAATGGTCAAGGACCTTCCTAGGACCTTAATAATTCCGGTAACATTTACTGTACTACAGGGAAATTAGCAAAATAAACGTAAAGAAGAATACCCCCGTCGCAGCAAACCTGCTGACTAAGCAAATTTCTATTTACCTGAATTGATTTTCAAACAAGTGTATTTAATTAACATTAGGTTTTATGAGTACTTAGGATTGCTGCTACAGTGAGGGTAAAAAGTGTGGATTTAGTAAAGTATTAATAACGTAGTATAAAATAAAGAAATTTACCAAGTGTGATCAAAATACAGTAGAACGTCGATTATCCGAAGCTCGGTCATCCGAAACGTCGGTTAACCGAAAGGAAGACAGAAGCAAAAATCAATAAAATCGCGCGCCAATCACGACTGGCCGTAGCGCTACGCCACCGCACAGCTGCTAGGCGGGAGGCAGGGTGGGAGGCGGGGCGGGCCTACGTGACGAAATTGTCGTGCACTATGGCCGCGCGCGCCACTCCTACTGCCACTGACTCAGTATCCGTCTCAAGTCTCAGTCGCCTGTGAGCATTCGACAGCGACAGTTCGTACGGGTTTCTATTGTACTGTTTCATTCTACACTGACTATGTCGTCCAAACGTAAACGTGTAGTGCTTAGTGTTTCTGATAAACTTAAGATATTGGAGCAGTTAAAAAAAGGTGCTAGTGGATCGAGTTTAGCTCGGGAATATGGAGTTGGAAATGCGACGATATCTGACATTAAAAAGAAAAGTGAATCCATCACAAAATTTGCGTGTGTACTCGACAGTGAAGATGGGAGCCTACATAGAAAAACCATGAAAATGGCGGAAAACCAAGACTTGGACACCGCAGTGTACACTTGGTTTATGCAGGTACGTGGACAAGGACAACCAATAAGTGGCCCTTTGCTTTGTGAAAAAGCCCTAGAAATGAATGCGAAACTTGGCGGTAACGCTGACTTTAAGGCATCAACCGGCTGGTTGAAACGTTTTAAATCCAGGCATGGTATTAGGGAGTTGGATATTCAAGGGGAAAAGCTGTCTGCTGACACTGAAGCAGGAGAAAAATTCAAAGATTCGTTTGCAAGTTTGCTCAGTGAGGAAGGCTACGATGATAACAATGTCTATAATGCAGACGAAACAGGCCTATATTGGAAGAAAATGCCAACAAAGTCCTTAGTTTCTAAGAAAGAGATGTCAGCTCCTGGTTTTAAGGCAAGCAAGTCCCGCATCACTGCAATGGTGTGCGCTAATAAAACTGGAACTCATAGGCTACCTTTGCTTATCATTGGGAAATCTAGGAACCCGAGGTGCTTTAAGGGAATTGTAAAATTACCACTCACCTACAAAAGCCAAAAGAACTCGTGGATGGACACAAGCATTTTTGTCGAATGGTATGATACCGTATATATACCGGAAGTTAAAAAGCAACACATCGCAACTGGGAGCTCTGGAAATGTTTTGCTAATTATTGATAATGCTCCAAGTCATCCTTCCTCGATGGACCTCGACAGAGAAGATGGCAAGTTCAAGGTGGTTTTTTTGCCTCCAAATGTAACCTCAGTTCTCCAACCGATGGACCAAGGGGTAATTGAGAGCTTTAAACGTTATTACAGAAAAGCATTGTTACGGATGGTTCTGCTTGGGCAAGAAGAAGACAAACCCATTCTTCAGCTCTATAAAGCAATAAACATGAAGGATGCTGTTTATATGGCTGCAGAAGCTTGGGACTGCGTCAAGGAGACCACACTGAAGAAAGCTTGGAATAAGCTTTGCCCAACTGAGGCTGCTCCTACACCTGAAGAGCCCCCGACCCAATTTGTGTCAGAACTGGTTGGCCTTATAAACCAATCTCCAGAATTTGAAGATTGCGATCAAGACAATATTCAAGAGTGGCTTGAATGTGATGTAGATGACCCTGGATATGAAGTGATGACGGACGATGAAATCATAGCTCACGTCCAAGAGAACGGCGATGACGATGAAGAAGAGGATTATGACATCGACCTCCCTAATGAAAACGGCCCATCCCACGATGAAGCCTTTCACTGCCTAGAGACTGCAATGCTGTGGTTAGAGCAGCAAGAAGAATGTGGTTCTGTTCAATTGCTGTCTTTAAAACGACTGCGAGATTTAGCAGCAAAAAAACGAGTGTCTGGACTAAAGCAAAAATCTATTTTGGACTTTTTTTAAATTTCTTTCTGTACACATTCTGATTCTGTAGTCCAGTTCTAAGTACTGTTGTACATGTTTGTTGCTGTATCTGTATTGTAAAAATAAATCTGGATGTTAATTAATTAAATTTATATTATTGTACAGTATCCACAGACGTCACTGACGCAAAATCGGCAAATCGCCGCCGGCCGCTATCCCTTCCCGTTATTTCCCGTCAATGACCGATTATCCGAAAAATCAGTTATCCGAACACCCCCAATCCCCAATTAATTCGGATAATCGACGTTCTACTGTATATCCATCAGAAAGCAAACTTACAATATTTTATAATATTCTCCATAAGAATAACATGGTAATTTTAAAATAAAAATTCTTTGAATTTTCTCTGTAACCAATAGTTGTACAAAAACATCACACTCTTGTGATCACATGTTCTATATCCGTTCCACATATTGTGATCGCACTCAAAGCTATACAGTAAATCTAGGCCTGGTGCACGCAGAGTGGAGAAATGACGGATCCGACATCCGACAAGAATGCCCCAGAGAGCAATGTTGTCGTGACGTGCCGGATCGGAAGGTGTCGTGTCTGACTAGTGGGTTACAGTCCATTTAAAATGATGCAAAGTAATTTTGTCGGAAGGTGTCGGAGCCTTGACGGAAGGTGACGTGTCGGAGAGTGTCGGACCAGTGGGTTTCCTACTTAATTTGAATTAAGCAGCAACAAAAAACTGTGATACGCAATTAGAACCTGTTAACAGTTTAGTTTATGTTTTTAATTTCGTGAATAATTTGTGATATTTTGTGAATCTTTAATAATTTATTTTTTCTATTGTTTGGGTGAAGTGGTAGAACATTATGGCTATGGTAGATGTGTAAACTATAGTATACCGTAAATTTAAAGAAACAAATTGTATCATACTGTGTCCTCCCCATTGCAAACGCAAAGGTTGAGTATAACTGTACTAAGCATTTTATACTTATATGCAATTTCTTTTTAAACCGTTTTGTAAAGCTTAAAAAAAAAAAATAATTTAGTATATTGAAGCGCTGTTGTATGCCTAACGGTCACGGAGAAAATTCAAAAATAGTGTTATTTAAAATTCTAATATTATTCTTATGGATAAAATTTAAACTGTTGTAGTTTAATTGTTTATGGATGTATGTTGATAAAATTTAACAAATTTATTTTCCTATACTATTGACGTATTGTCAAAAAACACTTTTTACCTTCCCCGTAGCAGCAAACCTAAGCACTCGTTAAATCTAATGTTATTTAAATTGGGAATAAATATGTCATATTTATGGAAATATTTTAGTAATAATGTAATCTGACAAGTTGAAATTTGCTTAGTCTGCAGGTTTGCTGCGGCGGGGGTATTATAATTTTTAGTAGTTGCAGGTAATTGCATCGAACAAATTTTCAATACTTTGTTTCTAGCCTAACAATAATTTACAAGAACTCTTCCTCCGAACACAGATCGACAGTCTATCCGGGGGAATAATTCCATGTAATGTATTGTTCTATTGTACTGTTTAATTTTTGGAATAAAAGTATTGTGATTTGATTGATTTATTGTTGTTTTGTTACAGTATATGGGATTCCTGTTTGTACACATTGGGCTACAAGAGATAGCATGGATGAAGCGGATGTTAAGTGTATGCATTTGTCTGGCACAGCATCTATGTGGCCCAGATGTAACAGAGTGAGTATAGTGATTCACTGCTTGACAAGTTGCTAGCCCGAGTCCACCTACTGCAATACATGTTCTCTGTTCCTCACAGTTGAATATTTATCTCCCTAAATGTTTCTTCGCATATAAACTCAACTACCTATTAACTGGGATAAAGTAGGGTTGAGGCTTCCCAGATACGTAAAGTCACATATAATCCGCAAAATACTTGAATAGGAATGGGTATTAAAATACAAGACTGTATTAAATGATAATGATGGTAATTAACATATTTATATTGCATTAAAACATAACTGAATCTTGTATTTGAGAGGAATTACAATGAATAACCCAAATATGAACACAATGACACACATAAATACAAAGAAGATGTACGGTATTTAAGGTCAAATAAAATATTTACAAGACACAAACTATCAAGAATTCATTTATTTGAAAATAATCTAACATTTTTCTGTTCTTGAACAGAGAAATATCTCGTTTGAACTGTACCATCAATATACAAGATCTTTGTTTGTCATTAAGTAATACAAGTATTACAATAGACATCGTCAATGTATTCCTAAGTGGCATACATTTCATGTTTCGTAACAAAATTTTATCTGCAATTGGAGCATTGTATTCCAAACATGAGGTATAAGAGGGGAGGGTCTATGACCTTGAAAGGGCCTGGGGTGGCTGGAGACAGTGATTTATGGTTTGTTTACATCCTACTACCCTTCCTTCCTAGAAAAAGACCCTGCAGTTTAAAAAACATTGACTTGTGTTGTTAATTAAGGCCCTGTCTGCATTTAATTTTTCTTATTCTACCTGGAAAGTGTCCCAGTACCCCAATGTGTTAATCTAATTACGGTTAATCGGGAGTTGAGTGTAATAGCATTCCTAGAATCAAACCTTTTTTGCAAGCCAACAATTGAGAATGATCACTGTACTGTATTTAGTTGCTGGTATACATATATCATGTATCAAAGAAATGAATTATGATAGCCCACGGTCGACTAGTAGGCCAGCGAATGTCTTGCAGAAAGTCAACTGTGCCAAAAGTTCAAATAATTTATTCTTGTACCATTAGATCAAAAACAATATACTCTGCTGTAGCGTTAGGTCAACAGTACCATTTGGTCAACAAGTAAAGTCAGTACTAAAGTCAAAGTCAAAGTCATCTTTATTGTCACAAAACGTTTTTTTTTTATGCTCTGGCACAGCCAGACAAAACAGGTGACATTGTCAAACTATACTAAAATAAACTAGCTTATATTGGTAAAAATAAATACATAGTAGGTAACAAAACAAACAATTCACATTGATTTATCTTCAAGAAATTGACCAATACTATAATAATTCTTTTCCAATAAAAATTCAAAAATTTTTTCTTTAAAAGATACTAATCCTATTATAGATTTGTAGTACCCAGGCAAATTGTTAAAAAATCTTTTACCCATATAAGAAGGTGTCCTTTCCACAAGATTTAATCTGTGTATAGGATATTGAAAATCTGTATGAAATCTAGTGTTATAATTGTGCCGATTATTTTCACTGTGGAGTTTTTCAAAATTTGATTTCACATACAATAAACATTTAAGAATATACAAATTAGGGACGGTTAGAATCTTTAGTTCTTTAAAAAGTTGCTTGCAAGAATGTTTTACGGGTTTAAAAGTCATAATTCTAAGTATTCTTTTTTGAAGTTTAAAAAGTTGATACGTAAAGTTGGTACTAAAAACGTAGGCTGTGTATATGAGATGACTTAATGGGATTTTGACCTAGTGAACAGTTCCTACGAGAACAAATATTTGATCAAAAGATCTATTTCGTTGTTTAAATAGTACCGGTAGGTCTAAAAAATATTCTGTTCAAAACAACGATAGTCCTCTTGACGCATGTCATGAATAATTTTGTGTTTTGGCGTACTTAAAGTTGTGGTAAAATTTAAAAAAATTGCACATAGCTTCTTGGTTGGTACTCCTTGATAACTGTTTGGTTGTAATTTAAAAGTGTTTATTGACCTTATTAATAAAAATTTATATGTATGGTAAAAATCGTTTTAGATCGTAATTTGTAACATTACGATCTAACAAAAGTTAGCATGCAAGGATTTTTTTTATTTATTGGTTAGAGAGGTTTTGTCTGTGGCAAAGTTGTAACCAATAGTTTGATGTGTAAAATATATTGTTTTGAAATTTTTACAATCAGCAGCTCAGTAGATAACTTGGGTTGCAGAGGAAGGGAAATTTAGCATTTTGCAACACATGGAAACTATATCGTACGATGCGCCGGCCGAATGGGCTTATCTTTGCAGTTCTAAGGACAAGAAAAAGATGGATATACCATCACCAGTACATTCATATTATTTACTAGCTTTTGTACCCGTGCTTTGCAACGGGAAGAGGACACAAAATTGAAACATTTTAATCTTTACGTCTGTTGCATATAGTTACACATCCACCAACGCTTAAAAAAAAAAAATAAACTTTTATGGCCCTAATGGAAACGTTTAAGTTATGACTTTTAAATCTGTTAAGTAGTGGATATAACCATTTTGGTTTTGATTAATTTTAAATCTTGTGTACGCTGATATGAGAAAAACCAAATCTTCAAATAAAACTTTCACATACATGATTTACCTTCATCTCCCTTAATTACATATTTTTTTTCTTTATTTTTGGCATTTTCAATTTCAGTTTTGAAGTTGCAAAAATACTAATTATTAAATTTAAATGAACATTTTTAAAATTTCACTCTTCTTCATATTAAATCACAAATCCTTCCATCTTCAGTTTCTTCACTCATAATAAACCATTAGCAAAACTAAGTCAACTGTTATAAACTTTAGAAATATTGTTGTGCCTTATCAATAGTCTTTTGAAATATTAAAGAAACTATATCTATACTATAACAAAATTTTAACAAATAATTTAGCATTAAAGACAGCAGACAAAACCAATATAATTATCAAAGAATCAAGGACTAATAAATGTAATAGCAAATACAGTATCTATATATTTAATAAGCTAGGCATATTTTTGTCATAATTGTTTTGGAGCGGTGGTGCTACCGATCGCCATGTCCAAGGCGTCGTTAGAAAGGTCTTAGCATGTAGTTTTCCCATCAAACAAAATAACTTTGGAATTCCATCAGGGCTCTGCCCCAGTGGCCTTCAAAGTTCCCGTGTTATTCTTAGGGAGAAAATGTTTGTTTACATTTGAACAGATGAATACTTTGAAATTGACACTAATATTTGAAACAGCTGGTTATACTAAAATTTTGCACAAAACCAAAACATAACCAAAAAAACGTTCGACATAATGGAGACTATAAGACGTTGACCAGGACGGCCAATAGGAGGAGGCCGATGAACTTTAACTGGTAGATGCGAACAAAATACAAATAATACTATTGTCGTTGATAGCCTAACAGCAAGCACCCTTCCGTGTTGGGTTTAAGTGTGCTCTCCAACAGCCGCCTGAAGATTTCACATTCAATTTAGGACTGTTGGATAATCGCTGCATAAGCTGTTGATTTTGGAAGACAAGGAGGCGGGTATGACTACATCGGAAACAGAAGAGAGGAGATATTAGATGAGTGGCAAATGCGTTGGGAACAGAGTGTTTTATGTTAACGTTTTAAAGGTAAACGTTTGGATATACATACAAGGAATGTATGTATATCTAACATCAGAAAGAGACTGGAACAAGATTGGGAGATGGGCCATTATGCAACGCAGTTTGTAACAGGACATGGACAATTTCAAGGTGAATTTTTGAAGATTTCACATGGTGGAAGAGGAAGTATGTAGATGTGGAGAAATAAAACCCACGAGTCGCGTATTTATAAATTGTTCACTTCAGGAGACAAATAGGAGAGACCAGGAATAAGTCTTGGATAAGAGAGGTCTAGAGATGAGAAAATAAAATATGATGAGTGACAAGGAAACAATTGAGACGTTTAGAAAAGTAGCTAGGGAAATAGGAAAAACCAGGAATACATACAGGCGTTAAAATTTAAAAAAAAGAAACAAACAAAAACTAAGAAAGAAAAGGAATGTAAACTTGCCCATGAAGAGGAGAGGAAAGGTTAGAGCGAATCTCAAGGATCCTTATCGCTCAAGGCGGTATGGGGAAGAGAGTCGTGCTGTTAGGCTTTTGGACACATAATGTGTCTCGAAACCTAATGTGGCTATGAGTAAGGCTTTTTGTAGAAAACACTATACACAATAAATGTTGATTATATCGATCTGTTATGTACATCTTGAGTATTTCCATAATCTTTGAGTCAAATATTTTAAAGTCATCAAAAATTATGACTGTTATTCATTTTAAAATAACGCCTGTAATACTTAGCAATTGCTCGAATTCGAGCAACAGGTACACTAGTATGTTTAAATGCATCTCTGATTCTACTCTAAAAAAATATCAACAAACCAAACAACTTGATATACAAACCAGTTCTTTTAATCAATTCCATCGTCCATTGCCTTTTTTGCCATTTTCACACTTACCATGAAGTAAACATAGTAACAGATATTTCATTGAATTATAAAAAAAGAACATTGTGTACTGCTTAGTTTTATGGTTTTTCCTTGGTTTAATTTAATCAGTGGTGTGGCAAAACACAAATAATAAATTTATCAAATAAAGTAAATGTGAACTGAAAGCTATGTTAAGATAAAATAAGAGTATTTTGTATTACCATTTGATAATTAAATATAGTTACACAAATACAAAAGATTTTAGAACTCAAAAAACAACGACGTACAATTTAGTTATTGATGATATTCTTTAGTTTAATTTAAGCATAGGTTGAGCAAAACACAATAACTAAATTTACCTAAATATACATATATATATAAAAAAAAAAAAACAATGTGATGTGCAAGTTATGTTAAGTTAATCTTACACATTTTAAGCAGTTCGAATTTATTTAAAGTAGCCTCCAAATTCATACAAAACATCTATACATTGTAATTTTCTTACTGTTTCCATGACAATATATCAATACAATTTTTTCCACAA